AGGATGTTCGTGATAAGAGAGGAGCAGAGCTATCAACCGATCACCGCCTTGTTGTTGGTGAGCTGCGATGTAAGAAATGGAGTACCATACGAAGATCTGGTGGCAGAAGTAACCAGAGAACTAATTGGGGAACATTAACTTCGATGGACACGAGAGCGAAATTTGCAAACAACATCGCACGACAGTTTGAAAAAATCCAATGACGACCACTTATGTAGAAACCGAGCGGACGCTCTTCAACTGGTGTACTCAAGGCTGCCGCCGAATGCTGCGTAGTCAAAGGGATTGGCCAGCCGCCTAAAGGTCAGAAGAGAACTTCCTGTTAGCGACGAAAGGTTCAACTGGCAATCAATGAGAAAGCTGCATTTAAGAAATGGCATAGAAGCAAAGAGCCTTCAATTCGCATGCTGTATGTAGAAGAGTGCAAGACAGGAGCGAAAGCAGTAGCAAAAACCAAAGCTGATTCCAGGGAAAAGGTCGGTGAGGTATTGGAGTCGAATTTCCAGACGGCAAACAAGGAATTCTGACAGACCATCCGCCGGCTCCAAGGTAAAAGGAAGAACACTTTAAGACTCCTGAAGGACAAGCCTGGATATCCTGGTACGGAGGATGAGGATATCCTTCAGTATTCTCATGTGAGAGAGTACTTTGAGGAACTCCTTAACCTCCAGCAACCGCAGGAAGACTAACTTGAGGAGCAGCAAGCAACGGATATTAATGTTTCTGTATATGAAATCACACAAGCTGTGAAATGTTTGGAAAGTGGAAAGACTACTGGAATCGATGAAATTTGCCCAAAAATACCTAAAGCATTAAGCGAACAGGGTACGTGCCGGCTAACATGTGTCTGTCAAACACCAGTGGCTACGGAGAAAATACGACGGATAGGATAACGGGGGTTGTACCGGTTCAAGAAGGGAGACCTCAGGACCAATTATCGAGGCACGAACTTGTTGAGCCTCCCGGGTAAGGTCTACGCAAAGGTGATGCAAAGCAGGTGCCTCAAAATAACTGACTGCAAAATACAAGAAGTGTGGTTTCCGGCCTGGCTGAAGCACCTCTTACCGGATATTCGTCCCATGCCAGAGTTTTAAGATATCGTGGTAGTTCGCCCATCCATTATAAGTGTACGGTGGGTCTAGAGAAAGCCTGTGATCGCATCCCGCGCAACAAAGCATGGACATACTAACGAACATACTAAATCGATGGCCAATTGCCAATGGGATCAACGGGTCATCCGATCATTATATATCCGGTGTTGCGACAGAGTAAATGGCATGAAGTCGAAAACTTTCAGCGTTGGCAGTGGTCTCCGCCAAGGCTACGTTCTGTCTCCTCTCCTGTATTTGCTGTACATGAATAGAATAGTCAGGCGCAGACAAGGCGTATGAGATGTCGCAAAGTGTATCAGCACAGAAAATGTCGAGACGAAACGGCTGCTATTTGCAGATGACCTTGTTTCGTTGGCATCTTGTGAAACTGATCTACAGCGCTCTCTGAAAAGGTTGGCAGCTGAATGCGACGCAGCCAGTACTTTAGTGAACGAAAAGCCTAGTGCTCTGTCATTCTTCTGTCCGTTGCTCTCTTCAGATAAACGGAGAAGCAGCGGAGAAGATAGAGAAGTTAAAGTATCGCGGGGTCGTGTTTACTGAAGGAAAATCGTAGGAAAAGATCGACCGGCGGATGGGAGTAGCCAGTGGCGTTCTGCGTGAATTTGTCCTAACTATTGTGACTAAAGCAGAGCTGAGTCTGATGACTGAGCTCTCGGTGTTCAAGTCGATCTTCATTCCCATGCTTTCCCAGGTTCATGAGTTGTGAACTATGACTGAAAATCTTCGATCCCGGGTACAAGCGGCTGAAACAGAATTTCTGAGACGAGTCGCTGATCTTACGGATTTCGACATGGTCCGGAGTATAGAAATCCGTAAGCGCCTTGGCGCACAGCCGCTGCTTCTTCAGATTTAAGAAGTCGCAGCTGCGATGGTTTGGGCACGTATTGCGAATACCTCCAGAAAGGAAGACGAAGCAACTACTGTTTGTCCCGTCGTCCGGCAGAAGATCCAGGAGACGGCCAAGATTAACCTGCGGCATGGGTACTGAAGGAGTGTACTCTAGACTCCGGTTGTATTCTGTTAAATCTGATATGCTGGCACAGGCGGGAACGTTGGAAGCACTCTCTGATGCGTCTGCCTCCACGACTTGTAAGTAAAAGCGGTCATGGAAGATGATGAAGAAGATGAACACAGGACTGTGACGGTGCCACAATTTGAGTCATGTTATCCAAATACTCGAAACTATCATGTCGTACATAAAGAACATAGTAGTCTGACCTTAGACCAAGAAATATCTAAGACATCAGCTGTATGACCATGGTAGCAGCAGAACGGCTTCGATGTGAAGGGAGCCCACACATCGTCCTGTTCGGCAAAAAACGATTCTCGGTCATTACCAGCCACGGTGGCCAACTCGTCGCCCTTATTGTAGCCCCTAACAAAGTTGCTGCTGCAGCCGCTTTGGGTCGCCTTTTTATGATCAAAGCCTAAAAGTCGTCAAAATGAGTAAAATGATCAGATAAACATATGAAAGAAAAGTTTATATATAAACGCGATAAAATCAATATTGCGTACAGCCTTGGTGGCAGCAGTACATGAAATGTTTAATAAATCTGTCATTCAGTCTGCATCAGTTTACATGGACAAATTACCTGTTGCGTCTGTACAAACTTCATCGGGTTTTACAAGTGTCGTTTACATCTTCACTCTAAACCTGATAAAGCGGTTTATTAGTTAAACACAAAACACAAACTGGCTGTCGAGGAATATCCGGAAACCGACGTTTGGTTGGTATTTCACATCGGACTGTTACATGAGCATTACTTAAGACGGACAGCAGCAAAATTATTTGCAGTTTACATACCTAGTTGTCATATTCTCTTCAGCGAGCAGACTATCCTATTCATGTTCCCTCATCCTAATTTCAAATTCTGATTGAAAATATTTTTAATATTAACTTGCACATTATCAACTGTATGAAAGGGGCAGTTATCGTTGTAACACAGAATCAGTGTTGTTCTGATGCCTTTATGAATGAATGAATGGCCGCAGAGCTTTAAGACTCCATAGCAACGGGTTGGAGGGGGACGGCAGTGGTACAACTGAGTGGTAAGTTGCTTGGCACTTAAAGCAGCCGGGTTCAAACCCAACACGCGGTGTAAACTTTTCTTATTTACTACTAATTCCCTCAACAAGGAATTTTCCCCACCGTGAATGTGTGCAACCAGCCGAAAGACTGGTAGCTGCTCGCTGGCTAGCGAATAACAGGAACAGCGTGGTGCTTTGGGATGGCCATGCTCAAGGTAGCGAAACGTACGGCAATACTATCTGGTGCGTGCGCCCTGCTGCTGATTTTGCCTTGAGCCACCGGAGAGCTGATTAAAAGGTGTAAACAAAAATTTTTAAACATTAGCACAAACTGTAAACAAAAATTTTTAAAAAATGCAATGGCAACTGTTCGTTTGTTACAGATACAACAGTTAGAGCCAAATTTAAATATTTATTTTAAACTTTAATTCTGAAACACTTAACGTTCTTCAAAATCAACAAAGCGGAGGCAATAAACTTCTAGAAGGCCACCTTGCTACGCGGTATAACATACGTAACGCCATCACGATGACGAACAGGCATGCCTGGTAGCGGAAGCCTCTTGATCATAAGAACAACCCAAATTGATCCTAAGAGTCATTCAAAAAGGAAAATAAAATACGAAGACTTAAATCTTTTTAAACCAGCGACTTACGGCAACATACACTGAAAAGAAGATGCCTAAATAGTAAAATATTTGTTTCTGTTTGCCTAAAACAATCTGTGAACATTTGTCTTATTAGACTTTATGGACAGTTTGAAAGTAAACATAGGCTTTGTTCCGGGATAAATTTTCAAATCTTTCCATGAAGATCACTGCAAGAAAAAGGAAGTGTGGATTGCCATTAGGTGCACTTGAAGTTGGTTTGAACAGTTTCACTGAAGAACAGTTAATTAACATCTACCATTCAGAAATGAATTGATTTATTTTGCTATCCAGCTACACGAATATACGAAAAACTTAGTACCTTCTTTCAAAGAGTCGCTGAGTACTCGTCCGTAAATATTGTAGCGATAATTTCGGTAGTAAAATCTACCGGAATGCTGCTAAACAAGTTCATAAAATGAAAACTGACTACAATTTTCCCTTCCGTAGGCTAACTAACTTTGAGTTCTTTACAGAGCTCAGACAGAATCTGATAGACGAAGCACTCTTCCCGGTTAGGGGGAAAATCAAATATTGGCGTAAAATCAGGTGAACGTTGAGATGACGAATTTCATATCAAACCTCATGACATATTTCTCATGCTTAAATATAGTTAGTAGCGTAAAGGCAGCAGCTTGATTCAAAAAACTGTTCATCACAGTAAAAATGAAGAAAATAGGGAAAACGGTACTGACTTTCATATTCTGATGAATACTTCCGCCGCATATCATCAAAATATTTGTAGGCATCTTTCAGGACCCAAATCCTAATCACGTTGTCCTGGCCAGCAGTCGCCAAAAGTCGCCCACAAAGCGAAAACTTGACGCACCACACAGCACCCTGAAAATTGGCAACTGATACTGAAACTGAAGCGAAAAAACACGGTTTTGATAAAAACAGTCCGCTACTTGTTTCAGATTGCACGGGCAGTAACCTTGAAACGTTGGTATCTTGAACCTCCGCCAATCCGATAAGCTATAACGGACCGGAATCTGAGGTGTAACCGGAATCTTTCCAGTGATAAGGCGTTCAGCAAATTTATACCATAAGGCCATCCGGTCTGCCATTTGCAGCCTGTCATGCGGATGTGTCAAGAGCGTCTTTCAGATCCTTCCGCTGGCACCTTGATCACGTGTCCAAACAATCGCAATTGTGATCTCTCGCTCTATAGAAGGCCTGGCTTATAAGCGACGAAATCTCAGACTTTGTGTTCTGAAACCTGTCTGCCTCGTCGCATCAGCTATACTTCGAAGGAGCTCTTTCTATCACTTATATCAAGATCACAGTCTTTCCGTCAATGTCCAGTACTCATGATCTAAGTATACACGCGTAGACATACTTGAAGACATATAGCTTCACATTTCTGCTCGACTCTTTCTTCATCACTATAACCAGTTCAGCTGCCGTTTTACTGTCTCAACTGCACAGATTCCTGTATCTGTTTCCACCTTCTGTCTCAGTACTTGTGAATGGTACCCCGATATAATCGAACTCCCCTACTCGCCTCAGCTCTGCATTACGCTGTTCCAGGAAAGACTGTGTATATCCTTTCGCCGAAAAAGCATCGAATTCCGACAGGCTGGCCTCCATTTTAGTTTCGTCGCGTGAAGCTGCGAAGCTAGCAGCTCTACACTGAAGGTCAGCATGAGAGTAAATGAGCATGACAAAATTATCTGCAAACAACAGCTGTCTCAGTCAACATCGCAGTGGCAGTCTAGCACTCCGACCTGCAAATGTTCAACAGCAAACACTGAAATGACATCGCAAAACGGAAGAATAACGTGCAAGAGTGACAGTCATGCCCAAACTCCACCTGCACAATCGTGAAGACCTTTGATTTATACAAGCAACTGGCTACGTTCACACTTTCCCGTTGAACAGGTGACACTTCAAACGACGCAAAAATACATAGGCCTCATCCTAAACCAAACCAGCTGATTTAAGTAACACCTAAAATATGGTTAAATCTGTTACGTCAACATGCAGGCACTTCTTTGGAAGTCAATACACGAGTTGTACGCACTATGAGTCTCGACCTCTCTGCGTGCTATGACTCTGTACTCTAGTGCTCTAGTATCCAGTACTGCTGCGTCATGAATTGATTACACATGCGACTCAATGAAAAAAGTGCAAATCGTGATCGGTACCGCGAAATTAAATCCAACGCCACAGCTACCGACGGTGACATACACTGCGGCATTCGAAGCAAAAATTCTCTGCGAATCGCCAGCTCCTGATCCATTGTGCCCTTATACATACGCCAATACACGCTTGAAATCACGTAGCTTAGAATAGAAAGGAGCGACGCTTCCAGCACAGTTTCGACAAATGTTAGCGAGCAGCTAGAAAAGTTCGACCGTCCACAGAAATCAGCTTGCTATCAGACCATGAAAAAAAGGATAAGTCTGGATAAGAGAATGGTTCATAATGAACCATCTTATGACTGGAAAAAGCCACTGCTGCCTTTCACTGAGCCACTGAAAGAAGTTCAACCGACTGTGAATACGGTCATGTAGAGCAGATAATGAAATGCCTACTTTGGAATGTCTGTCGCAGTTTGATGAAACGGTAACTGATGCTCAGAATATCAATAAGAATAGGAATATATGTAAAAAAAGTTTGTAACCGCTAGAATATCAGTCTTCCTTAGAGTATCATGATATCCATTTACGGTATCATTTTCACGATATTCATTTCATAGTAGCATTTCATGACATATCTCAGTAAGTTCGCAAGCGTGAAATTAATTTATTCGGCCGTTTCGGAATGAAATGCAAATCGAATAAAAACGATTTACTATTTCGAATAACGGAGGTCGCTCCACAGTACAGATGGCGTTGCAGCAAAATACTATACAAACATTTTCACGACATCCACTACACTGATATGCGCATAAAAGGACATAAAAGCTTGTAACCATTGAAATGATGTTCTTCCTTACACTTTCATGATGAAACCATTTTTGGTGCCTGTCTTTCTATGAAGATAACGATGGATCGCTGATTTCCATTTCTATGATATCCGCTAGGCGTGCCTTATTTAACGACAGAGATGACAGCAACTCTGTGGCAAGCATAATGCGATTTCCATCCCACAGAGTGGTACTCACTTATCAACCTCGGAAAGAAAAGAGCCGAGTGACCTGGCCGGGGCCTCTCATTTCCAAGTGAGTAATGTCGGCCTCCATTAAGGATGCCTATCAACCTAATGAAAATCTTAACATCTCCTTATCAACGTTGCTATTCACCTCCAACCGATAGAAAAATTCCAATATCTTCAACCATTATGTTCCGTTTCAGATCATAAAAATAATGAACAAGAAAGGAGACAAAATAAACCCTTGACGGAAACCAAGAGGCAATTTGCAAGGTACTGACCTGTTTTCGCTCATTCGAACACTAATCTGTACAGTGCTGATAAAACCGTTGCACCGCTTCTTTATCGAGCAGCCTTTAGTGATGGCTCGAAGATGATCAGCAGAGTACACAGATAAACACACCTTTCAGATAAACCATAACAGTTTTTCAATCGATCATAAGGGTTTTAACTGCACGTTTCACCAAACAGCACTCGCCTTCCATCTGGCGAAGACCGCACACACGCCATTTCGACTAATAAAGAACTGCGACAAAGCAAAATAATGGAATGTAACTGGTGGTATGTCCGTTTCAATTATACTTCCAGGATTTACGCATTTAGCGCACCCTGCCTTTAATCAGCTGGTGCAGTACTGATGTCCTTGTTGACACCGTTAGCCAGAAGTGCCTTATTCTGTCACAGTGTTAACATCCGTAGCTAGATGGTCACTAGTTTATCACTACTACAGCAAGTCTACTGCTTCGTTCATGTGAAGTGGTGCTTGTTTGTTTACCTTGGCCAGTGACCCTGAAGGGATTCTATAAGCTCGGCGCTCTACTGACGTCGGTAGAATTCAGTTTAGGTACATCATTCATTTTTACAACCCGCTATTCATTTAAAAGTTAGACATTCGAAAACAGTGGATATTAAGTTGGTCGGACGTAAGAAATCACGGTGAAAGGGCTTGAGTTTCAGCCTCGGTCTGGTGAATTATCTTTTATTCACCAGAGGCAAATAAACGAGTATCACATTTTAGGAAGAAGACATGAGGCAATATGCTATATTTGTTATGGGGATGCAAACACCGCCTTCAAAATAAGGCGATTCCAGCTGATGGCAACACAAGCTCCGGAGATCAGCGCCGTATCAAAAGTTCCCTAAAAACGGACTGGCATGAATGGCGTCCATCATGGAAATATAAAGGGGACCAACATATAAGTTGCGAACCTTCTTTTCCATTTCTTTTGGGCTGCAAGGTAACAGCTTCAGGAAACTTTTTCAATGACTCTGGTTTTCTGCCAATTAAGCAAACTCCACGGTGGGATCATACTTAATTCATCATGAACGAAAAGTACACGAGGAAAAGTAAAAACTATAAAATAAATAAAATTACTCAACAATGTTTCATCATCAGCCTCTTGTGGTTCACTACTGGATAAAAGCCCCTTCAAGACTGTCAGAAACGTCTGTTTCTTGCGACTTGTATCCACCTTGATTCAACAAACATCACAAGCCGTTTCCTCGCTTCTGAAATCCAGTCTAGTGCCTCTCCTATCAAGCGTCTAATACTCGCTTCCTCTTGTCACGTGTCCTGTTCACTGTCAATTCAACTTCATTCTGGCCTTTGTATAGCAGACTTCTATGTGCTCCCATCCATTCATTCATCTTCCTATCTTTCCTTGACATTCCCTAAAAACATTTTTCATGTTGCATTGCGTAGACTGCAGTTTATGAAAAGCTTCTGGACACAGAGTCCACGTTTCGCACCCAGATATTAGCGCTGAAAACAAAGACTGGTCGAATACCTTGCGTTTCAAGCACAAGGGCAGTTTCCCAGATGAGAGCATTCTCAGTATTACAAAAGTGCACCATATCACTTTCGTTCTTCCGCTGATTTCGTACAGTCGGCTCTTTGCTGCGGAAATGAACTGTCGTAGATAGGGAGACTTTTGCACCTCTTGAAATCTGAGTCCGTTAACTTCATCAGGACGCACGGCCGCGCATTTGTTAAAAATAACCTCTCTTCTTCAGGTTCATTTTCAGTCCTGCTTCGATCTAGTTCAGCTGCTAGATTCTTCTTTTGAGTTCACCCGGAAACCTTAAGAGGATCAAAATATCCTCCACAAAGAGGAAGTTGCTTAAGCAGTGCCCATTTATCTTCAGTCTTAGATTTTCACAACGGGCAGCCCTGAAAACCTCCTCTATCGCTGCCGTGAATAACTTCGGTGACAGTGCGCCACCCTGTCCAACGCTCTTTTCGAGTTTAAACTTCGTTGTGCTTTCATGAAGCTTCACACCAGCAGTTGCATTATTGTAAATGATAGCGATGAGATTACCATACCTCTTTTCATATTATTTTGCAACAGTGTTTGAAAAAAAACAAAATAACTATACCGTATGTTCGCCACTGAGATCCTGAACGAGTCGTATTTGGTCGAAATAGAAAGGACCTTTATGGTGATGCGACGCTTTCAACTGAAACACAAAGGTTTCAACCCAACCTTAGAACGAACAATATTTCACAAATTCGAACCTGAATGCCGCGATTGTTATTTTCGCCGCTTTCGTCTTCGTCGCTTGGACTACTTTCGTCCTTTGGCTTCTGATGAGTCGCTGGAAAATATGTAATCTGTCATCAAAACTAGCTAAGTAGAAGGGCGCGTAGACGTCGTGCACAATAACCGCAGAGCCATTGCGTTAATCTTGATTAGCGGTGTGAGCAACGGTTTCTGCCAGAGGAGAAGAAGAAACGGTACACTTACATGATGTGCGACGTTCGTGGCGCACCTCTTTTTCTGCAATTTATCGTACGGTGCTGATTTGCATTTCTACGCCATCAATCATGAGCGTTTCCTTTTTAAGACAATGCCTACAGTTATGTGATAGATAGCGCACGTAGCATCCTGTTTCCTTTCTCACAA